TACCAGATCTCATTTTGCACCCTGTCCAATTCCAAACAGATTGTCTGTTCTCAGAGTTATTGCTGTGATGCTGCTGTAAAGGTCTTTTGTCTTGTTAACTGCTGCCATTCACCACATGCTCTGACTCTGCCCCTGCAGATCCTACATGGTTTTGAACTCTTTTCTTCTTAGGGTCTAGAAATTTGTGAAGTTTTTCCCAGATTACAATGTAACCTCAGACCAATCTTTCCCAAGAAGGATTAGGTAGACACAGAGGCGGTGAGGCCGATATTCTGGAATCACACCTGGCTTTGCTTCCCCCCCCCCCGAACAATGTGTTATATTCACTCTTCTTTAGGATTCCTAATTTTCTCAATTTTAACATATTCTCTCCGAGTTTTAAGTGTTTCATCATAGTGGCTTGGATTTTTTCCAATCCCATGATTATCTCTCTATTAAAACTTTAATACAAAAAGAAATAAAAAAAAAAAAAACAGACTGCTCATTACTTTGATTTGTAGAACAGAGAGAATGGAACATTACTGCTAGAGTGTTTCGAGAACCCGTATTTACATTTGCATCATCTCAATTTAGGGGCCTTGATTAGGTTGTGCGTTATGATGAAGATGCACTTAGCAGTCAAAGGGAAGTGGCATGGGCTAGAGTAATGAGCAAGAGACTTCATGTCAGGAGCCCTGGTGCTATTTCTGGCTGTGACTGGCTACCTCTCTGACCTTGAACAGCTCCATCTCATCACCGAAGACCCTAATAGGCTCTCTTTGCCTTGTATCATGACTGTGAGAGGTTGGGCACTTAAGTGTTTATTATAGTGGGACTATGAAGTGAATCAAAGGCGAGGGCAGCTGGGGGTCACAAATGGAACTGGAGACAGGATCTCTGTTCTACATCTTTTATAAGTAGCCTGTTGAGAAATGGTGTCTAAGAAGTGGGCTGATTGTTCAGATCATGATTCTGTGGGATAAACGAATGCTGAGAGGTTAGGCAGTAGGGTTTTAAAGCTTTTAGGTAGAATGCCAACACCATCTTATTATTTCCAGGGGCTTACCCAGACAGCACATAGTCTTTTCTTACAAGTATCACACCCCAGGACCAGGAAGCTTTTACAGTGGTCAGCCTGTGGAGGACATGCCCAAGGATTGCCGCTCTGCTACCCCTGGCTGCAGAAGCAAGAATTAAGCCCATGACAGCTCCAATTATGCCAAATGCCACCTGGCTTCCTCCAGTAGCCCTTGTGGCCAAGGAGAGTATATGTGAGAAGTATCAACTATTCTTTACTTGAAGACCTCTCTCCACAAAGAGCCAGATTGAGGGGTAATGATAAACAGCAAACAAAAGAAGAATTCTCTTCTAGATCAGTTTCTGTATGCTAAATCCTCAGCAGACATCACAGCAATCATAGCTATGGTTCCTAGCTCATCATTTTGCCTAGACTGACATTTATTGAGAACAATTTAATATCAATAATTAATATTTAGTAAACACTAGTCCAAGATCCTTGTATCAACTAACTCATTTAATTTGGCATCAGCCCTGAGGTGGGCACTGTTATTTTCTCCACTTTACAGATAAGGATATTGGGAAAAGAGGGACATTAAGTAGTTATCAAACACCACAACTAGCTCCCAGGGCATTTTTCTCTAGAGTCTTCACCCCTAACTAAACACCTACACCTGTAGAAAATCAATATAATGGAATAAGCAACTCTCTCTCTCTCTCTGGAAGTCGGTGTGAGGAGAGACTGACATTATTCTGAAATGATTCGTTATCTCCTCAAATTCAGAGTGCACTCTGATACTTAACTAGAAACACGTGGGATGAGATGGGTTACTCGTAGGACCTTGCTGTGCAAGTGTCTGCAGCTTCATCAGAAGGAAATTCTCCTTCCAAGGTTGAGATAATTGTCAAGTAAGTCTGCACCCTGCATTCCAAACCCCTAGAAAATCATGTTTTGTTGTTGTTGTTTTTGTTGTTTGTTTTTTTTTCTTTGCTATGAATTGATAGCCCCCTTCATAAGAAGGCACATGTGGATACCATCTGGTTTCTATGTACTGAAAAGCTTCCTTAAAGGATGAAAGAAATATTCACTCTTCTTGAGACAAAATAGTTTCCCATCAACCCCTTATGACATTCTCTGTCAGTTGTTTTCATCTTAGGTTCTTTGAATAGCAGAGGAGAAATTTGTATGTGACTCAGTATATATTTTACCAGTTTCCTGTGACCTGCTTTAGTCAGCATAAGCAAGGTCATGAGTTTGTCAGAGGCAATTGCCATGGGATCCCAAAAGCAAAGGGCTACAAAAGAATCCCCAAAAGAATAATATAAAGCCCTACCAATATCTATAAAGGCAACAGTTTTGCTTAATCACTGAAGGCAAATCTCCCAGAAGGCTCCTGGAGCAGTGGTGTGTGACCATTCTCCTCTAGCTCTAGCAAAGGTCCACAAGTCAGAACGCTGCATTCCTTTCAGAATGACTGGTTACTGTTTCTCCAAGTCCAGGTTCATGTGCAATAACTGACCCCAGAAAAACTGATCCTCACAGTGTAAGAGCTTGCCACAGTAAATGATCAGAAAACTATTGCTACCTGATAGAGGACTGATAATGCACAAGTGATTTCAGACACTCCCATGGGCCAGTCCTGAGCCGCCACCCAGGAGTTAACAGGCTACTAAGCTATCCAGACCTGGGGCTTAGTGAGGGGGAAAGAATCTACCAAGAAGAGAAAAGGGAAAAATAAACAAACAAAAACCCAAACAATGGCTTAGTCCTTCTGTTTTCCATAGCTCCTTGAAGTTCATAGTGATATTAGGATTCTTAGCCTGACTTCAATTCCAAGATACTTAATAAAAATTATTTTTGTGAACATAGTGCTGCTTTGAGACTTGGATACGCCAAATTGTGGAAGGTAAATTAAATTTCATTTTATTGGATTGACAGACTTCTCTGCTAAAATAGAGGTCTTCATTTTTTTTTTGTAAGATGGAAAAGAAAAAAGATCACCCTAAATTCGCCTTACAGAAAAATCTGTGGGGACATGTGCCTAGAATCCTACTGAAAGTTGAATTAATGATGATGCTCTGGTTTCTCTACTGTTCTGCTTTTGCCTGAGCAGGTGTGAGTTCAGCCTAAGTTACTCACTCTTTCCCTCAGTGATTGTGTTAATTTCCGCTATAGTCTTAGAAAAAAATACAAGAACCAATACCATTGAAGCAGGGGGTGTGAACTACAGTCTCTTCAGGGTTGGCTGGGCAAAGCACCGTGGGTAGATATGGCCAGCAAGGAAAGATGGGAGGTGCTTGGGGTACCAGCCACTCAGCTGCCTGACTTGTCCCCTCTGTCTGTACCCAAGTTTGGGAGTTGTAAACCATGTGACTGGGTTCCATAAGTGTCTGTTCTGTTGTCTCCCCATTCCATAATCACCCTACACCCTGCTTCTGATACCCCATATTGACCTACACAGGTTGCAAAGTTACTATAAATGTTAAAAAGAAAAAAAAATAATAGAAAAAAAATCTCAAATTTCTCTAGTCTAGGAACTTAGACTCTGACATTGGCCTATTTGGAATTTAAACCTGTTCAAGTTATATGACTTTTCTGGACCTCGGTTTCCATATCACTAAAAATTTGGGGAGGCTTAAAATGGGGAGATGATCTCCTTCAGTCAGGTAGAGGCCTAGACTAAGGCTGATGCTTCAGTCAGCAGAGGAACTGATGACTCGAGTTCCACCCTGGGTCACACAAGGAGTCAGGAGAAAACTGGATCCTGAGCATCGCTCCACACGGGCACCATGTGATATGTGAGGCTGGACACACACACACACACACACACACACCACAAACATACACACACAAACATACACACACACACACACACACACACAAGATATAAACAAATTAAGTAAAATTTTCAATATTAAGTCTAGCAAGAAACCCAAAGACTTTAAGTGTGCTCATAGGACTAGAAATGTATATGCCCAATATGTGAAAAAAAATGTCTAGATGTTAAAAGAATGAGCGGTTTTGTGTTTCTGTTTTCATTTGTGCTTTTCCACATTTTCTTCCCATTGTTTTGCATTAAAACTGATTTTAAAATTGCGCATAGTGGCATTTACCTTTAATCCCAGGAATTAGGAGGCAGAAACAGGTATATCTCTGAGTTTGAGGCTAGCCTGGTCTACAAAAAATCAAGTTCCAGGACAGACAGGGCTGTTACACAGAAGAACCCTGTCTCAAACAACAACAAACTAGTTTAGAAAAATAAATGTTTTAAAATAGAGAAAACAATTAGAAAAGCTCCCAGGTGCCTAACGATGCCTTTAATGCTGATAAGTTCAGCAAGAAAAAGGAGAGACATGGTAGAGGGCAAGGATGCCAAGAGGGCAAAAGGAAAATTGAAACCAGAGATCTCTTGTGCGAGCCCCAGCCTTGCTGGGTCAGTCGAGTGAGGAGCTTCCCATTTTTGTCCTGTGGTCTAGCACCCGGGAATATGTCGGACTAACTAGACACACATTTGCCTTTCATATGGGATATTCCTAGAGATGGGCCTCTTCCCATGGCCTCAAAGGTGAAGGCAGGTTTGCTCTAACTGCAGGTTCCCCAGACCTCTGAGGCAACAGGGAAGCTCCCCTTCCTTCATTTGCATGTGTAAGTAATTACGACTCATAAAAGTCCCTAACCCATTAGTTAAAGCTGGGACCAGCATTTGACTCTGACCTCCTAAGGCAGCCTGGGCCGCATGCTGCCTGCATGCTGCCTGATTTGTCCTCAATTTATAAGCGGAACAATCTATAAATAGAAACCCTTTTGCTAAGTCCCCAGGAGGCATCAGCGCGTTTGCTAGTTTGTGTTTTCTTCTAGAAAAAAAAAAAAAAAAAAAAAAAAAAAAGACAGGCTTATTTCACCTCTAGTTTAGCTTGAGGGCATTGCGATCAGTTTAGGGCTTGAGGCTTGACGCACCCGCTGGCCACTGCCTAGGCTGAGCTCTGTGGGAGACGCCACTCACCTGTAGATCCTGTACCTGGTGGTGAACCCCTGGCGGTAACGCTCCATGAAATCAGCATACTCCTGGGCGCGATGAAAGGGGCCTCGATCTGTGAGCAACCAGTCCAGGGGAGCCTGGCCGGCCGTGGAGGCATGCTGTTCGGGGACCACAGCGGCCACCGTGGCCGAGACAGCCAGCACCCACCCGGGCACGCCTAGTGCCAGCAGGACGGCCCATGGGGCGGCCTCCGGCCAAAGCCCTCTAAACCGAGAGCTGCGCTGCCACCTCATGCTTCTCCCAGGCGGTTAGTGTCTTCATTCTCTCGCCACACTCTCCTGCTCCGTGCTGCTCCTCCAGGGCTCCGAACTAGAAAAGTACAGAGAGAAAGGTGAGGTGGGTACAGGGCCGTATCCGGTCTGGAAGCATCAAACATCACTGGGTGGGGAAATCCTCCCCATTAGTCCCGCAATGCAACCGATGCGCTGAGACGTTGAGCTAGTGCTGAGCGTGTAGGGTTTATTTCTTTAAACACAACCATCACTGTCTGCATCTTACAGCTGAGGAACAGAGCTCGGGTTAAGACAGTGACTTATGTCCTCACAGCCGCGAAGAAGAAGAAAGAGCAGAGTTTGAGCGCGGGGTATGAATCCCTGCTCCTCTCCTGCCTGAGCTTCCTAACAATCTCCATCTCGCAAACATGTTCACGTGTTTCTGTGACAGACCGAGGGCTGCCTTCCTAAGCTTGGCACTGGGCTAGGAGCAGCCTTATGCTTCAAATGGAGAACTGGAGGAGAGAAAATTAGTTTCACCCCTTTGCTTCTCTGAAAGGAAACCTGAGCAAGTCACTCTCCTCTCTGTATCTAAGGTGGGCTCTCGACATGAACAACTGGCTCCGTACTAGCTAGTGCTTTTCCGAGGTTGAGGGTCCACTCTGTGGTGGTGCAGGGATGGAGTCAGACCGGGGAGACCCATTCCTTGTCTCCTCACCAGGCGGCAGGAGAGCCCCAAAGGAGCCACCTGCTAGCTCACTCCCTAAAAGCACAGAGCATGCCTGCGGACGCAAGCAGTCTTGAAGGAATGAATGAGTGTATTCCCTGCTTTCTCTGAGTTGCAGGGAAGACGCCAGCAAGAAGGTTGCTTCTGTCCTCCTCCGTTCCTGGCTGCCTTGTGAGTCACCACAGGCCGGATTTCCAGCACGTATACTTTGTCTAAGGACAACTCATCACCTTTCTCAACCTACAGATGCAGAGAGTCATTCAGCACTGTGGTGTTTCCTGGAACTGCCGCCGTCCCTCCAGTCTTTAATTTCTAGCATATGCCATCAGAGCTCTGCGTGCGTCCCCTCCCCAGCACCACTTCAGCGTGTGCCAGAACAACTTCCAATACCCAGTACCTGTAATTCATGCTCCGAGGATTGTCTCTGGCTGCCAAGGCCCAGAGACAGGCTGCCTGCGGGTGAGGAAGATGTGGTAATTGTCTGAACTTTCACTCCCCTGCGGGGGCAGGCAAGGAGGACTTCAGTACATCATGCTTCCTTCCAGAGTCACCCCAGGGGCACTCTGAGATGTGTAAACTCACTAATCCAGAGGACCTAGAGGGGTCTGCTGGAGGTAAGTGTGAATCCTGGAATTCCCAGCTCCAGAGTCATACTGAGCCTGAGAGACAGAGACCTCAGCATTGCTACAGGATGCTTTTCTGAGACACCGTGTGTAAAGGATGGAAGGGCAGAGCCTGGGCATTCAGACAGCCCTCCCTCCCGCTTACATTCATCAATTTGGAGCTGGATGCTGGGAGCTGCTTAGAAGTTGCCCTCATTCTTAAATATTGTTAGGTAGGCACTATAATTATAAAGTTATATTATGGTGGGGAGCCAGGGGAGTTGAGCTGGGAAAACAGCAAAATGTAAACCTTGACCTGGCTCCTTGCCAAAGGATGCTGTACTGTTTGGAGAGCCCGGGTAGGGTTGAGTCAGACTGCCCTTGATTAACTAGCCAAGCTGGGGTTCTGGAAAAACCCCATGTCTGCCCCCTCTGATCCTAAAACATAATAATGTTCTCATAATTAAAATAGGGATGGTAGCTCACAAACGGGACAGGTTGATCAGTGAAGTAGAAGAGCTCAGTGTTAAACTACACACAGCAGTTAGTATCTAAAAACAAAGCCATCACAGACTAATTGGGTAAGAATGGAATATTTTACACATAACAGTGAGAACTTAGTTCCACATGGATTAAAAAGTTAACTATAAAAAAAGTAGAATCATGGAAGGAAAATCCCCAAGTGTTTTTTTTTTTTTTAATAAGCTTGTATTGCCAGGAAAAAAGTGATTTAAAACTAAAAAGAGAAATCATCCTTGTATGTGGAAAGAGTAGACAATTTTTATACTGAAACAATTTGATGAGGATGCCCAAAATATTTCTCATTTAATCATTCGCATATTCATCCATTGAAGAAGCATAAATGAGAACTCGTAGGTGCCAGACATTATGCTAAGAACTGACAATATGCGAGCAGGTGCGCATTGCCTTACCTGAAGTTTTGCCATTAGTGATTCATTCCTTGTATAAAACACTGCTGCGTTTCTTAAAGACAAATTGATGGGGGGGGTGGAGTTTGCTCATTCGGGAAACTGTGGCTCCTTGACAGAGTCGGCCAACAGAGTAAGGTAGAAAGCCACAGCCACTGGCAGAAAGGCACATGAGAGCAAGGTTCTAAAGTAAACCCCCACCCCCCACACACACCCCACCAAAGCCCTATGTACTTCTCTGCATGCCTTCTCTAATCTGCTTTGTTGAGCGTGGGCAGGGCCTGTGAGCAAGATGGACTGTCAGTCTCCATTAGTTGACCCTCGAGTTAAAAACTGATGAATGTAGAAGGTGAAACTAGACAGTTGCTTAGGTGATGGTGGAGGCAAAGAAAGGCTTGTGGCTAACTTTGGACAATATCCTCCATGAGTCAGATCTAATCAGCTGACCCCAAACAGAGCAAACAGCCATGTTGTGAACTGCTTATGAAAGCCATATAGCAAGGTACCGGAAGTGGCAACTAGACTCTAGGGCAAATCCAGCCAGCAACTAGGAAGGGCGTGGGAACCTCCATCATACAGCTGCAAGGAAACAAGTGTGGCCGGTGGAAGAGTGCTTTGTACCCCTTCAAAGATCTGTTTCCATGTCTAGCCCATCGATTTGACACAAGCGAAAACTGGAGCTCCTGAGTAAGGGTATGGGACAGGACTGGGGTGACAGGCCCAAACAGTGAAGTACTTATCTTGTAATTTCAAGGATCTGAATGGTGTCCTTACAACCCACTTAAAATGGCCACACAAAAAAGCCCGGATGCAGTGGTGTGTGCTTGTTGTCAGAGCATTGGGGGAGACAGGTGGTTCTCTGGGACCAGCTGGCAGGACAGCCTAGCCACTTAGCAAATTCCTGTGAAAACCCGGTCTCAAGAAAACAGAAAAAGAAAGAAAAAAAGAGGTGAAGGGTGCCTGTCTTCCGCACACACGTGTACAGACATGCAGCAGTGTGAGGAAATAAATTTGTATCACGTTAGATGGTGCAACGTTTGTTACACAGCAATAGGAAAATAACCCAATCATAAGAAGCTTCTATCCTGCCAAGGGTCTGGTGCTTCATGCTCCCTAGAGGAAACCAGGATGTTACTCTGTTGTGAATGTCTTGGTTTATGACACGTAAACAGGTTTCCGTTAAAATTCCAAGTCGGGGATTTTAGTTTGTTCACACCTGTTGAACGTCTAGTGCGAAGCGTGGCAGTCTTTGCCAGGTGGAATTAGTTGAATTCTGAGGACTTTGCGGGGTATAAATACGAGACATCCCGGAGGAAGACAGCACGGCTGCTTGGAGGAGGGCTGCCTGCTGCTGGTTCATCCTTCTGCTGCATTTGCTGCTTTGCTGATTTGCTGGTTACCTGGACTTCTGGATTTCTCGACAACTGATATCGGTATGGTCCCCAACAGAATTCTACCACCCTACCCAGCAGGGGGTAGCAGAGAGGGGGTAGCAGGCCCCTGTCCCCACAAACCTTTCCCTCCCCACAAACCTTTCCCTCCTACCCAGTGTTGGGGGTTGGAAGTAGGTTTGTTAAAAAATCAAGGTCAACATTACAGTGTGGGAGTTTCTGGAATAGAGCAGTGTTGACTGTCTCTCCCAACTCTGCCCTCGCACAACATCCTCCCTTGCCAAGTACACAGATCCACCTAGGACCATGTGTAAGTTTTCATCATCTTATCAAGTGTACCATCAGTCCTCAGGCATATGTGGTGCATCAGATTCCATGTACTTCAACAAGGAGTCACTGGGAGGCTGTGATAAACTAGAGTCTGGTCCAGCCACTTGGCCTCTTGACAGACTGGTCCCCTGTGCATCCGAGGCCGCACGAGGGTTTCCTAAGGACAGGTGGACACTTACTAAAAAGACTGAAAGAATCAGACTATGTTAAGCATGTTCTTGTCAGCTCTGTTGGTAATTATGCTTTTTCAGAGCTCACAATGAGCTGGAACCTGCCTGTTATAGGAGTATCAGCTTAGGAATCAAATGGTTTTGATTGCTGGGCCACATCTGCTGAGCTCAGCAAGAATGCCTGTATTCTGGGCTCTCTGTTCCTCAGAAAAACCTGGCCTGGGAATCACACACTTTCCGCTTCAGTGGTTTTTCCTGGGGATCTGAAGACGTTTTGACTAAAAAGTCTCTTTTTAAGAAAGAAGATTCTTAAATGAGTTTAAAAACTTCCTCTTTTTAAAAAAAGGACAAGATAATTGCTGGGTTGACAGTTGTATGAAAATCGGGCTTTTGAAGGGGGGGAGCAGCTTTTGGCTACTTCCTGTTTATTCTTCAAAATAATATCACTGGATGTTTTGTAACAGCCATCTATCACAGCAAATCTTGACTGTCTAAATTCTCACAGCTTTTGGAGGCACCATTAACAAGCAGCTTGGATTCTTCCCGTGTGTCCAGAAGCTGAGTGTCTGAGCAGGCCTCCATGTGACCTGTCAGGATGGTAACCCAGGGGCCATCCTAGCCCCTTCATGAAAAGTGTTACGGGTTTACCTGAGAAACATGAATAACTCCCTTCGTCCTCCACACTTGAGGCAGTTTTATACCGAGACAGATAAAAGGGCTTTGCACCAAAGGTACAAGTTTAATAAACTGTAGGTTTTTCTTGTCTCAGCGCATTAGCTCAAATTTGTCCTTTAAGCCGTGAATTAAATGGGTCATAGTTCTGTCAATAGAGAAAATCAAGTAGAAGATGAGGTCACATGAGGAGTGGGCAGTGCAGCCTTCAAAATGGGAGTGTTTTTAAGAATCACATCACCACCGCTCCGAGCTTACTACCCAGCCGAAAAGGTT